GTCAACACGGAGGTCTACATCGGGATTTTAAGTAAGTATGTTCTTCCGTGGATCAAAGAACAGTACGGTCCGAAGCCAAATGTTGTATTTCAACAAGATGGGGCTCCGTGCCACACCTCGAACCGCACTCAGAAGTGGTTACAGGAACATCTTCCGTTCTGGGCGAAGGATATGTGGCCGCCATCCAGCCCCGATCTTAATCCGCTGGATTACTCAATATGGCGCGTCATGAAGGCCAAGGCCTGTTCCAAACGCCACCCGAGTACAGCAAGCCTCATACAAACATTGACCCGTACCTGGAGAGAAATGGATCCAGACTACATTATTAGAACCGTGCATTCCGGAAGCGTGTGGTGGCCGTAATTGCAGCAAGTGGAAACTCGATCGATAAATAATATAGTTCAAGACTCTGAGAAACATCCCCCCCTTTGAATAAATAAAAAAAAAAAACCCGTAAACAAAATTTTTGAGATTTTTTTAAATTTTGACATTGCTCAATGGTGCAAACATTATCACGCATACGGTAATAAACAATTATACGAATAGTTGAAGATGCTAATTTCAAATAACAGACTAAAGTGGTAATTTTTGTACGATAGATGAGGAGATGAAATTATAGAGTTGATAGTTCCGTTAGAGTACAGCAGTGTGAAAATTGCATATAGAGAGTAGAAAGCGAGCAAGGACAATTTTAGGAAGGTACAAATCGGTTTGATCATCTCTCTTTACCAAAATCCCCCGTTGGAGAGGGATGGTGAGGGGTATTCCCCCCGCCACCACTGGCAAAAAGAGGTGATCGCCGACTCGCTCATGTACCGACGATGTGTTTGAAACAGTTCTATCTAAGGCATCCAGTCGTAGGTTTGGAAATTGTAGCTATTGTTACCTCTACTACGGTATGTGCTCCTGTCATCGTCGACTTGACGATCTCGAGGGACACGGGTAGGGTAGGTGCTGCTACTGCAAAAGCAACCCCTACTCTAACGGAACTATCGACTCTATACTTTCATCTCCTCATCTATCGTATAAAAATACCAAAATTAGCATCTTCAATTTTGTAAATCGTTGACTTCACGCAGAAGTAATACTAAACATATACACACTTAGAAATACCTAATTTTACACGTGACGGAATCCATCTTTGACATAAAGGATGAGACGTAAACAAACATGCTCCGAGACTGAAAACTTCAAAAGTACGTTTGATTGAGTTGAATTTCGCATCTGTTATGACTTATTATGATTTTTTTTAAAGATTAAATAAGACAATTTTTAGTATTTTACATTCTTGAATTTGGTGAGATTTTTTACTTGATATATTGCCGATTTTAAAAATCTCATATTTAAAAAAAATCATGGCCCTTGGACTAGGACAAAATATTAGGATTCTGACACTTCAAAGCATTGCCTAGAGAATTAAGATGACAATGCCAAATTAGTATAGAAGGATGAAGAGGAATTCTAGGGATAATTATAAATTATTTATGGGTTGATTTTCAATAGAATTTGACAAGAATTTCCACACAATTTTGCGAATTATTTAAAGAAAATTGTAAGGCAAACTTCAAGTGGTTTCTAAGGTAGTTCTGAAGAGGCTATTCTGGGTATGATGAGTAGAATTTTAGGGAACTGTATAGACTGATTCCAGACCAATTTGCAAATCCAATCATTTTCCTATTTTATTTATATAGCTGAAATTTTTTAGAAACATTCCATTTTGCATCTTCAGATCACCATTTTAAATCGAGCATTTTATTGGGGAGCTGCCTAAAGCCTTTTAATTGTAAATTTCCCGATCTTTCGGAAAAAAATATTGTTGTAACTAGAGAACCGCAAAATACATTCGAAAATGTCCAAAAGCTACCAACATAAAAAAAAATCTATCAGGCTTAAATTTTATTTTAGTTCTTTTTTATTGTAAATTTCACGTACTTTCAATGAATCAACTAAAAAAAATAAATTGAAATAAACTTAACACTTTACGGAGTGTGTTGATTGATTTCCGTTTAATTCCGATTTTTAAATTTTTATTTTAAATTAAAAAATAGTGATATTTTTTTAGAGTGCATTTATTTTTTCAAATAGATCTAGATGTTTCCTACAACATTGCCGAACATACCAAACCGATTGGACGAACATTATTCGAGTAACAGTTTTCTGAAGATAAGCTTAACATTTTCCAATAGACCCTTTTCAAAATTAAGGCTCGATTTAAAATGGTGATCTGAAGATGCAAAATGGCATTTTAGTCTTGAGGAACGTTTCTGAAAATTTTCAGACAAAATGCGAAAATTAATGGATTTGCGAATTCGTCTGAAATCGCTCTATAGAAAATCGGAGTGAATTTCAAGCAGCATTCAAATGGAATTCGGAAGAGTATTGAAAGTGAATTAATCGTGAAGCTAATTTAACGGTCATAGCACCGAACTTGCAAAATGCGTGTTGATTCTGAGACACAGCACGACTGACCGTTTGTCAATTGGCATGTTTGTTTGTTTGAATCTAGTTCTTAATATAATTCAAAACAAAATATTGAAGAATTTCAAGTAAATTTATAAGAAATTTTGAAGGATTAGAAGCGGATTCCGTAGGGTTTGACAGGACATTCTTAGTATATTTTAAAAGTAGCTCTGAATAGTGTTCCAGGAGATTCAGAAGAAAATTAAAAAAAAAACTAAGGAGAGTTTCAAGAGAATTCCATGTAAATTTCAAGAGATCTCATTTTGATAAGAATTTGAAGGAAATTCTCAGGAAATTGTTTATGGAATTCTGAAGTGGATGTACTTTCAAAGTTCTAAATGGCATAGCAAGAGGTTGCTAGGAATATTTCAAGTGAATTGTAAAGAATATAATGTTGCAGCACATTCTGACGAGAATTTTAAAGAATACAAACATAAATGAAGAGTAAGTTTCAAGATTTCTTTCTGGAGAGAATTCCTAAACTGTTTTGCACAGAGCTCCTTCATGGAGAATAGGGGACAGATGTTGGACAAAATCATTAGATTATTGAGGGAAATCCTGAAATCAAAAGTAATTCGTAGGACATTTTGAAATTATCCCAAGAAAATCCTTGAGAAATTTTCATATTTAGGAGAAATGGATGTAATGTTGGCCTAAATGCCTCTAATTTGGGCCCATACATAAATTCAGCAATCGAATAAATTTTCAATAGCTGCCATAAATATTCATTAGTACCGTCAAAATAACGCGTTCATCTAGATAAAATTGATAAATAACAGATTTTTAGCGATGGACCCAATCTTATATCCATAGACCAACATTAGAGCCATTTTCCCTATCCTGAGAGAATTTCCAAAGAATTAATTCAAACTAGTTTTGTGTAAAGAAATTCAAGATCCAGAATTAACATAAATTGACAATATTCAGGTACTTCAGGTACGTTTGATTGAGTTGAATTTCGCATCTGTTATGACTTAATTCTATGTCAAAACTGACGCTCGTATATCTCAGTCTCAGAGCAGCTACATTTACATTATTTTTTTTAAAGTCAAAGTCAAAGTAATTATACAAAGTTTCGTGCAAATCGGAGAAGGTCGCATCAAATCGATTCGTCATTTGGAGTAGAACTTCTCTGTGGTTTACACTGTCGTACGATGGTTAGAAGAATGCACAAATGGGTTGATATGGGAAATTCGACCGAATGGCAAAAATGATCAATGATGAAAATTGGACAAAAGCAATAATCTACGGAAACGACAATTGACGGCAGTATCAATATCTTCTATTTTTTTTCCAAAAATACATTTACTTAAACATTCGGGAAAAACTGGAAGAGCCTTCCTGGTATAATCCAGAACTAAATTTCAGAACTTTCCCTAGATAATAAGTTATCGCACTAAAACTTCATGTTGATATTGGTATAGCATTGCCTCCCAACTCTTACCGGGGAAGCTGGAAGACAATTTTAGAAGGACTTTTTGGTGGAAGTAGCAATCAATTTTTTTCCCGGGTAGTCTATGGTATTTTTAAACAACACGAATCAGCCTAACGTCCGCACACAATAGCACAGTAAGTATACACCCGATGAGTACGGGTTTATAATAATGCTCTTTATGGTGCTGATGCTGCAATTTTTCTACAGAAGGCCTCTTTTTTTTACCGAAGGACTTTTCTGTGTTATAATAGTATGCACGTCCGAGCGTACGTCGTTGGCGGATTGGTTCTTGCCCGCATGTTTCCTCGCCTCCACCCTCGCCCTCCAATGTCCAAATCAATCAAATTGAGAATTGCATCGGACCCGTTTGAGGCATTGGTGATTGAAATTTTCGTCCAAAAAAAAAAAACGTAATTGATCGTTGGTACATCATGATTTTCTGACCTTGAAACATCTATCCCTAACGCAAGGTTCGGTGCGTCCCCATACAATGATGATGATGATGATGATCATGACGACGATGATGGTGCTCACAACACTCCAACTTCGAACTGGTTTTGCATTCCATCACAACGACCTCATCGCTACGAAACGATTTCGTACGTACGTGTGTAAGATGCAAGTAACGTATTCCGTGTCTATCATTCTCTCTCTCTCTCTCACACACACACACACACACATTATTTGCAAATCTACTTATGGGAGTTTAGACGAGATCGTAATTCTTGCATTACTTTAGCGAGCGGATTGTCGTGGTGGAGGATGGACGAACATGGGGTGATTATGGAAATGGCTCATCATATGCGGTATGGCGAAGGTTCAATGTGCCACTTGAAATATGTTCTCTCCGGTTTGGAGTTTTGCACTATATGGTAGGGTTGAAGTATTGTTTGAAACAAATTTAGTTTTTCAACCTCATTTTTTATACATTTTAATGATTTTCAATTTTTTATCAGATGTAATTGAACTACTGTAATATTTTTCAATTTCAACTTGCAATATTTTGTTTATATCAATAGAAATTTTCAATTTTCAACTACGAATTACAAGATGATATTCATTATGCCACTTGTACTAACTGAAACTCTTTATGACCGAGACTCACCTTGTAAACCTGTCCGTAGGTTCCATTTCCGACCACTTCGATCAGTTCGAAGATTCCAGCTGGGTCCTGCAAAGAGTGGAAGAAACAAAGTAAAACAAACTGGTTAATCATCCGGTTCAGACTAGTGTATAGGTTTATGGTCGCTAAATCATCCGCCAAACATGAAACGGCTCTTCTAACATAATTAGATCTACAGTGTCCTAGTGGACGACCTGGACTTAGATTTCAGACGGCTTGAAACAAGCTCGTAAATTTGTGCTAATTTGAAAGGTGCCAGCAGTTGGTCCGAGAAATCGTTTTATGTGGCACTTAAAACCAGATGTCTCAAACTGTATCCAATTCCTCTTGCATGTTAGTTACATTGATCGGCTCTAATGAGCGCAGCGCAGTACATTGTGGTCACTTGTCCCTAATGGAGGAGCGCAGAACGAACAGCCACCCCATCTGGATTGAATCACTCAATCCAGCAGAGCTTACGAAATCTGTCAATTATTTCACGGGGCATCTCACACGCCCAAATAAATCGACGGGTAAGCAAATGTCAGTGAATGGTTTTTGATTACATAAATTTATTCGAGCACCACCCGCTGCTGCTGCTGCCGCTGCTGCTGTCAGTGTCGAGAGTGAACGGATTGCCGAGCTCGTGTGAAGGACCCTCCGTGGTGAGAAGAGTACGTGTGCGATACCCTACAAAATACTACTGACTACAACGAGAAGCGGCGGAGTCATGTTCGTAAAAAAGTAAAAGTCAAACAATGAAGAGTCTTATGCGGCATGCAGGTTTCATTCAGACGAGACTTTACAAATTTGGGGAGCAAAAGTTTGATTACGAGTGGTATTTTATGGATGTACTCCCCCGTTTCCATGAGTACCTCTCGTTGTGTATGTGGAGTGCTAAAATTGTGAAGTCATACATTGATTGGTTGATGTTTATGTAATGGGTCATGCAGCAGTTACGAAAGCAGATTTTTGGAATTAGAAGATTCATTATTTGCGTTGGAAGATCATTCATTACATGAACTCAAAATCACACTTGTTTCAAGGGGTGTGATATCTACAAGCAAACACGGTCGCCATTAGGTCACCAAGCCCCTCCTATTACAATACACTCCTCATGATCGATTTGTTTCTATTGCCATTCTTATTGGATGATTACCAAATAAACAAGACGAGTCGCGCAAACGAAGCAATCGTTTTCTCTGAGAACAGTTTGTTAATTCATTTCAATTCTGTTTTTAGATCACAAAATACGGTAAATTTTTATCTCTAATTAAAGTCATGGGTGGCCAGTGTATGTTCATTTTGAAAATCCCGGTTTTTGACGATTATCCCGATTCAAATCTAAACAATATCCCGATTTTTTATGTTCAGCAAAAAACGAAAGTGTCAAAATAATTGCAATATCCCGTTACTTCCTAGATACTTTACTAAGTATTTGAACATAATTTGAATAACTTTTTTATTCGCGTGTTCATTTATGATTTTAAAGCGGCAAAATTTACGAAGAAACCAAGTCATGGAAGGTCGGTTAGCCGAACGCTATCGGGCTGAATAGGTCACTATACCGAATTTAGGAGTGAAAAATTAAGGTTAAATTTACTTCGATGTATTTCCGAAAAATTCAGAAGGAGTTTATATCGACGCATCATTTTATATGACGCGTATTGTGTAAAATAGCAAAATAAATTTAATGACGGGAGCTTTTTGCAACCTGAAACGATGCATCGAAAAAACCTGCTTATGAATGTTTCGAAAAAGCATCAGCATAAATTGAACCTTAATTTAATACATTGTTTAAAAAATCGTGAATTTGATACCAAGATTTCGAAGCAACAAAATGTTTCAACAAATCGTGATGCGTATTAACAGAATTTTCCATGATTCTGAGGCTTTGATTTAGTTTTAGAATATGACATCTTTTTTCGACCTATGTGACTTAAAGTGTGAGATTTAAAAAAATTACCAAAATACCTGATTTAAAAAAAAAATAGGTTCCTGAAAAATTTGCTTCGAAAAATGATCAGGTTTCCAAAAATTTGTTGAATATTTTAATAATTTTGAATTTAATTATTGGAAATTCAGAGAAAATCTTGGAAAACAATTCAACGGAGTTTTGATAAAAATAAAAATCCCAACATGATTCTGAGAGTCCCATGAAATTCAGAATCCTAAGGGATTTGTGAAGAGGATTTTCCAGATGATTGTGTGCATCTTAGTGAAATACCAGAGAAGGGTTAGTAATTTCCATTTCATTCCATTGCATTATTTGCTTATCGTTGACATGTACGCAAATTTCGTCTACAATGTGCAGACTTCTTCAGTGCTTTGTACTAATACTCGACACTGAAGAAGTCTGCACATTGTAGACGAAATTCGCGTATCTGTCAAGGATAAGTAAATAAGGTAGTGGAATTAAATGGAAATTACTAATCTTCTTTATTAAAGAGGATTTTATTTTAAGTATGGGATTGAAGAACAATTTTTGAAAATTAACAAGAACTTAGATTCAGGTGGGTAATTAAATATAAGAAATTAGGTTTTTCCGGTTTCATAGAAACTACTAAATGTGGTGAAAGGAAATACCGGCATGATTGATTACAGCAATTTATGCAATTCAGCAATTTAAATATAGAAAACCGTAGAAATCCCCTCACTCCTCACTCCGAAACATCGTTATCTATGGAATAACATTTGAATTCTCAGAATATGATTTTTTTTAAAGATTAAATAAGACAATTTTTAGTATTTTACATTCTTGAATTTGGTGAGATTTTTTACTTGATATATTGCCGATTTTAAAAATCTCATATTTAAAAAAAATCATGGCCCTTGGACTAGGACAAAATATTAGGATTCTGACACTTCAAAGCATTGCCTAGAGAATTAAGATGACAATGCCAAATTAGTATAGAAGGATGAAGAGGAATTCTAGGGATAATTATAAATTATTTATGGGTTGATTTTCAATAGAATTTGACAAGAATTTCCACACAATTTTGCGAATTATTTAAAGAAAATTGTAAGGCAAACTTCAAGTGGTTTCTAAGGTAGTTCTGAAGAGGCTATTCTGGGTATGATGAGTAGAATTTTAGGGAACTGTATAGACTGATTCCAGACCAATTTGCAAATCCAATCATTTTCCTATTTTATTTATATAGCTGAAATTTTTTAGAAACATTCCATTTTGCATCTTCAGATCACCATTTTAAATCGAGCATTTTATTGGGGAGCTGCCTAAAGCCTTTTAATTGTAAATTTCCCGATCTTTCGGAAAAAAATATTGTTGTAACTAGAGAACCGCAAAATACATTCGAAAATGTCCAAAAGCTACCAACATAAAAAAAAATCTATCAGGCTTAAATTTTATTTTAGTTCTTTTTTATTGTAAATTTCACGTACTTTCAATGAATCAACTAAAAAAAATAAATTGAAATAAACTTAACACTTTACGGAGTGTGTTGATTGATTTCCGTTTAATTCCGATTTTTAAATTTTTATTTTAAATTAAAAAATAGTGATATTTTTTTAGAGTGCATTTATTTTTTCAAATAGATCTAGATGTTTCCTACAACATTGCCGAACATACCAAACCGATTGGACGAACATTATTCGAGTAACAGTTTTCTGAAGATAAGCTTAACATTTTCCAATAGACCCTTTTCAAAATTAAGGCTCGATTTAAAATGGTGATCTGAAGATGCAAAATGGCATTTTAGTCTTGAGGAACGTTTCTGAAAATTTTCAGACAAAATGCGAAAATTAATGGATTTGCGAATTCGTCTGAAATCGCTCTATAGAAAATCGGAGTGAATTTCAAGCAGCATTCAAATGGAATTCGGAAGAGTATTGAAAGTGAATTAATCGTGAAGCTAATTTAACGGTCATAGCACCGAACTTGCAAAATGCGTGTTGATTCTGAGACACAGCACGACTGACCGTTTGTCAATTGGCATGTTTGTTTGTTTGAATCTAGTTCTTAATATAATTCAAAACAAAATATTGAAGAATTTCAAGTAAATTTATAAGAAATTTTGAAGGATTAGAAGCGGATTCCGTAGGGTTTGACAGGACATTCTTAGTATATTTTAAAAGTAGCTCTGAATAGTGTTCCAGGAGATTCAGAAGAAAATTAAAAAAAAAACTAAGGAGAGTTTCAAGAGAATTCCATGTAAATTTCAAGAGATCTCATTTTGATAAGAATTTGAAGGAAATTCTCAGGAAATTGTTTATGGAATTCTGAAGTGGATGTACTTTCAAAGTTCTAAATGGCATAGCAAGAGGTTGCTAGGAATATTTCAAGTGAATTGTAAAGAATATAATGTTGCAGCACATTCTGACGAGAATTTTAAAGAATACAAACATAAATGAAGAGTAAGTTTCAAGATTTCTTTCTGGAGAGAATTCCTAAACTGTTTTGCACAGAGCTCCTTCATGGAGAATAGGGGACAGATGTTGGACAAAATCATTAGATTATTGAGGGAAATCCTGAAATCAAAAGTAATTCGTAGGACATTTTGAAATTATCCCAAGAAAATCCTTGAGAAATTTTCATATTTAGGAGAAATGGATGTAATGTTGGCCTAAATGCCTCTAATTTGGGCCCATACATAAATTCAGCAATCGAATAAATTTTCAATAGCTGCCATAAATATTCATTAGTACCGTCAAAATAACGCGTTCATCTAGATAAAATTGATAAATAACAGATTTTTAGCGATGGACCCAATCTTATATCCATAGACCAACATTAGAGCCATTTTCCCTATCCTGAGAGAATTTCCAAAGAATTAATTCAAACTAGTTTTGTGTAAAGAAATTCAAGATCCAGAATTAACATAAATTGACAATATTCAGATACTTTGGTTGAAAACAAATTTCAAGAAAACTGTTCAAGACTATGGGGCAATATTGAAGATTATAAGTAATATTGGACTTTAAATATTTATTTAAAAATGAATATTTTAAAGATTTGATTCAATTCCCGGTTATTTGCAGGTTTTTCTCGGTTGTTTTCGATTGCCGGTTAAATCCCGGTTTCACCGGTTGAGTGGCAACCCTGCAGATTT